TAGGACTTTAAAAAAACTAAAAAACTGCTGTATTTGGATGTATTGAACACCATTAGTAATATACAAGTGAAATATCTAGTTTGTACATAAGAACAATCAGATGGTCACCAGTGTGTCAAAATGTGTCCAAGTGTCCAAAAATGTCACCTCGCCTGAACTGTCTGGATTAAAAAGTTAGTAATTTTGTTCTACTTCACTTTTTCAGAGTCAACCTTTGTAGGGAGAATGCTCACATATTGTGCTATGATTTTGGAGAGGTTTAGAGCTGCAGCTGGATCATTACAAAGAGATAATTATCCTAAAACTGCTTTTTTTATTTAGGTGAACCTGAAATTTTTAAATTTGTGTGTGTGCCATTTGCTTTTAACCAGTAACATATATACTGAAATTTACACATCTGAACAAATCTTACAAGTGTTTCTTTTATTATGACACAAGAATTATTCAAATAGACCTTGTGGTTGCAGAGATAGACTGTTTTTATTATGGGTATGTAATTTTCGAGAAAAGGCCTGAAAAATGGCTCAGGGCTTAAAGGGTTAACAACAATATGCTGCTTATACACTGATGTTACAGTGAAAATAATCTAGTTACATCATCATAAATAAACATGTCGTCTTTTTCTCTGCATTGTGAGCATTTCTTTCTACAACCGTGGTTTGTTTATACTATTTGAAAGTGAAGACAGGAAAGCTTGTGCTCTCGTCTGTCAGCTCAGCCCTCAGAAGGCCCACATTTGAGCCTCCACACTGAATATCATGAGCTGTGTTGTTAAAGCAACCTTACAATTGCATTTCCTTGACTTAATTCTCAAAATAACATGTGGAAGACAATGAGGAAAAGCTGTGGCTCTGTCACTCTGTTGTGCAATTTAAATTTGTTGTGAGATTTAAATTCTGACAGGAACCAGAAAGAGATCCTGTTTCTTCTTTATTAGCTTCTCTTCATTGGCTCCTTGTGAAATCCAGGATAGAATTTAAAATCTTGCTTCATACATATATATCTCACATATCTTTGTTCCCTCAGACACTCTGTGTTTTATGTCTGCCGTCTCAAACCCGGCCACTTATCTGAGCTGAAGTTCCTTCTGGTGTTTTCTTCCACCCATGTGGAAAACAATGGGTCAGGAAACGACACAAACAGAATGAAGGGAAACAACGTTTTAATGCTGCAGCAGAACATTCAGCTCTACACAGAATTCATTGCATACATTATGTCAGAACATTTTCAGTGTTATCTATCAATAATATTTGTGCTCATAGTTTTTAGGAGTACACAATTTGATTCATCAAGCTTTTATTTTAAAGGGAACATTGCCTCGCTTCCAGCTTTACAGTTTATTGACTTCTTCATCTCCATGGTAACCATCTTGTATACACAGACACAGTGTGCTGAGTTGTGTATAAGCAATACACTAAAATTAAGTCATCTTTTAGGAACGCACACTGTTTCTAGCAATGCTTTTTAAAGCTCTTTATTAAGTTTGTATGTGTTTACAGGGTGTAAAGATGCCATCAGGGGAGGGGAAGAGTCATATGTAGCATCTGGGTGTCTTTAAGGACATGAACTACATCTCTGCAGGAGACTAGTATACTCCAACTGTAAGCCTGCTTATTTATTTAGGCAGATGTTGTGACGGATCTTAGTCCATGAGCTAGGTCTGGACCCGAGAGCAACCAGGCAGACAACAGGCACTCAGGAAGCGTGGGGGTGGGGGGTTCACGGAGAGATCTGACAGTGCGGAGAGGTGAGGTTGGTCAGTGGCAGGTTGAGCAGGGGGCTCGCTGGTGGCTCTGGAGACTAAGATTAGACACCATGGTCAACTAAGGGAATACTTTTTAATCAGTTTTCAGTTCACCATAATTATGACTAGTTCATTAGCTGATGTGTTGCACAGCTTACTGTAAAGTCAAGACAAGTGTGCATTATGAAGAGAGGGAGATGAATCTGCTGCATAACATTATTTAATTATTAAAAAGTGCACCATATAGTGCACTATATACAGGGTGTAGTCAGCGATTTATAACTTTAACAATAACGTAGATTATTCCTCCATCTATCAATAATACACCGCTAAATCCTCTGTAGGCTCACGGATGACTGGAGCCAATCCCAGCCGAGCCTGCTCTCCGGCTCCGCCCTCTTTTCCATATACGGTCACTGCTGCTTCCAGAAATCCAAGATGGCAACCAGGAAGTAGCAAACTATAAATTCGCGCGCAACATCCGCTCTGCCTCTCAGTCGCCTGGAAGCAGAAGAATGGCGTGTTGGTGTGTAAAGGTTACTGGTAGAAATAGTGAACATATCAGCACTGTTTACAGAACAATGGTGTTAATAAAGAGCAGTATTAGATGAAGTAACTGCGTCACGAGAGACGGAACCCGAAGCCCGAGCTGTGTGGCTAACGCAGCTATCAGAACAATGGCCTGATGCTAATGTTTCTGCGCCGAAATGACGGTAGGATGGGTTTTTTTATTATCAAGGTTCATATAAGTAGTGTTACAACAGTATAGTCATATAATGAACTGTTACGTTTGAGGTGGGGACCGGTTCAAAAGCTTCACGTGGCTCACACGGAGCACGTGCCTTCAGTAGGCTGGCTAGCACGAGCTCCGCTGGAAGGCACGTGGAGCCTTTATGGAGGATGTGTGGAAGAAAACGGAAACTTTGTCAGACATGGGATGTGTAACTCTGCTGCTTCATCAGTTTANTTTGTTCGTAAAAGTGAGTCCTGATCATTTTAGATCTTAATGTGAGATTCATGACAAAGCCATGAAGTTTCTCATTCTTAAGCTGGGGAATGAAGAATAGTCTGTTTTTATTCGGTGTCTATGTTCACGCACAATCTCATATTGAGTTAAATGAAATAACTGTTTCTTTTATTATATGTTGCATAATTCCACTTAAACAGAGTTCAGCAGTTGCCTACACGTCAAATGGATTGCTAACTTAACTCATTAAATTAGGAAATTTAAAACATTAAATTGCATTAACATTAAAATTACCCAGAAATCTTCAAAATTTTAATCTGAGGGAAAAAAAGAAGATTTCTGTTCATTTATAAACTAAAAATTTGAAATCAACACAGCAATGAAATATGAATCTTTTTTTTGTGAGTATATTCATAGTCATCTTACTTTTTCCTGATTTAAACTTAAATTACAACATCATAGTCGTTTTCAGTCATTCAGACATCGTTCACTGTTGGTAATGTTCCTTCAGCCAGGTGCACTAGGAACTCGGGTTTTACAGAAAGAAATAGTGTGAAACAATGCACTCATCATGAAAGAATATAGTGATGTTGTACATCAAATTAAACAGCAGAACCTGGGCTACAAGCACATATCAGCCATTCCTACATGCCTCAAACACAACTCAAACACCAACTAAATGAATTATCAAATATGCAAATCGATATAGCGCCACCACGTCAACCCACTCGTCACATTTATGGCTCTGTCGCTACTGTACGTTATGAAAGACGCACAACCTTCCTCTCAAAATGAAGCAGAGAGTCCCCAGATTCTAAACATATCCATCAAAGCTCTCTAAAACCAAAGCATCAGCGAGAAACAACCCAAAGAACAGCAAAAACCGAAACCGCTTCGTCCAACTGTGGTTGTAAAATGTCTCTTACCTTAGCTGTTTTGCCGTGAAAAGTTTATTTTCTCGGTAAATCTACACCGGAAGCAGTTAGTACTACTTCCTGTGCCACACGGAAAACACGTCACCCGTCTCTGGGAGGTTGTGTGAACCGTAGGGTACTTCGGCAAAGTGAACGAGGGAGCGAGCGGCGAGAATACAAGATGGCGGTCTACTGATTCTGATTGGCTAAAAGTGCTGTCAATCTCGTTTTGGTGGCAATGGCTATCTTCTATTGGCTCTAACGATTCGAAGGAGGGTTCAATCGCCGAAATCGGCCCATCCATCGCGGGGCTAGAGGATTGCGTCACGAGCGAACCGTCACAGACCGTCCACTCGCCTTTACGCACAGGCTGCGTAAAGGAGACAGCGGTCTGTTAGGACTTTAAAAAAACTAAAAAACTGCTGTATTTGGATGTATTGAACACCATTAGTAATATACAAGTGAAATATCTAGTTTGTACATAAGAACA